TGTTTTTAAAACGGATTAATGAATAAGCACAGTCAGCAGGTCTCAGCGGTTTAAGATCCGTCAACACCTGGGAGGCATCTATAACTCTAAATGGCTTTCTGCTCCATGGGAACGTTACATCCGGAGACCATTAACCTTCATCATCACAAACTGTCCTGTGAAAAATGTGGCGACGTTGGTGAGAAACTAATCCGGTGTGTACAGTAAATATCTGTGAATGATGGTGGTAAGCCTCAGAGAAAAGCACCGCTGCCAACAGGTGTGGCAAACCGTAGTAAATTAAGCTGAGATCTGTAAGACTGAACACCCTCAGCAGGTATTTTACTGGCCCAAAAAATCTATTCTGACCTCCTCTAACAAAGAAATGTGTTAGTCAAACATTGTTTTAGGGAGAGCCGCACTCAGGTCAGCCCGCCCACCTGTGAACAAAGCCGGCAGCACCCACCCCGAAAAGGCAATAAAATACCTGCCAGTGTGTGTTGCAAAACCAGTTCAGAAAAAGAAACACGGGGCTGCCCGCCTCTCCTGACAGGCTGGAGAGGAACAACCAGAGAGTAGAGCAGCAGAAATGCTACACAGCCTGTCCGTGACCACATCCACCAGCAGCCAGCTGGCTGTTTGTTTCCATGTGCGATGAAGCAACCGGAGAAAAAGCCCTTCAAGGCTTGCCGTCCTTGGAGTGGCTCCCAGACTACAGTAGGTCTAAATATGCCCGTAGAAAACAAAGATTGGATGTTCCATTTACGATAGCGTGCACAAAACACCAGCTCATTTTCAGATACGTAGTAAAGGCACCTTTAAATGAGTTTTTTTCTGCACAGAAAACAGATTAAATAAAAGCAGAACTGTTTTCTTTACTGTGATAATGACTCACATTATGAAACATTTCTAAAAGCCATCACAGAAGAAAGGTTCCTGCCTTCATTCAATCATCACTTTTTATTTTCAGCTACAGCAGCACGTCAGAAAAGCGTGTGAAATATAAGACTTTTTTATTTTTATTTTAAACTTCCTCTAAATCAACCTGAACTTGAATAATGTGACATCAAGCGTCAGCTGCCAGGTCAAGGAAAACTTAGTCACACAAAGATCGGAGTATGATGTGATTTTATCACAGGAATGCGAGTGCGTTAGTGAAATGTCACGGTCAGAGACTGATGGTTCCCTTAAGTTGTGTAGTGCTCTACAACTCAATGGAATCTGCCATAAACCACATACTCCTGCTGAGATCTGGTTACAAGAGGGCCCTTGATCAAATCTCTCTCATAACAATAATTACATTTTGTCATTTGCTTAGAGAAACATCCTATTACAGAAGAATGAGAGAGCTTCAAACACCGTTCAACCTTTCACATTTCAGCTCAACTTCATTTACTGGAGTGTTGAGTTCTTCGCATGGACAGTGTTTCTCTCCTCACTCCCCTCACCAAACCGCATTCCTGCAGGAACGGCTGGACCAGTTCGGTGTGTATGGATCGGACCGGCCAGTCGGAGGCTGCTGCCTCGACCTGTTAACCCTTTATGGGGAACTCCAACTTTAGGACTGGCTCAACAGTTGAAGTCACTGAACTCCTCTAACCTGGGGCTGAGATCTACAGAGATGCTGAGAATGCTGTTTGAATCCGTTCCTAGAAAAAGGAGGGCGTTCCAGTGGCATCACAACACTTCCTGCTCAGTCACATGGTTTGGACCCGGGAACAGGGGAAGCCCCGGAGAGCAGCCACCACATGCTGCTCTGGTTTCCACTCTGGCTCGTCACCTCTGAGGGGAAACGCCTTTGAAATGCTTCAGCATCTGTACTCCTAAATGAGCCGTCCCAGATAGCTAGCTTGGGGTTCCTCTCCTCTAGTAAAAATCAACAGGAGCTTTCAGGAGCGCGTGGAAAACTGGAGGAAGTAGGAGCTCCTGTGTGGGCGCTGAACACAGCTCAAACAGAAGGTTCATGAACTTTAGGGGTCCTGGATTTCTGCATGGATCAGTAACAAACCGGCACCTACTCGGCGTGGCCCGACTCCACTGAGGTCGCGTTTCCACTAGGGCCCACTCAGCACGCATCCACTAAACTTAGTTTAATTAGCATTTCACACTATAGGCCCACAAACCCTCTGAGCCCCTGAAGGGTTCAAAACGGACCCTTCTGGGCTTATCTCGATTCTTAGCTGATGATCACATATTGTTGATCTCTGAAAGCTTTTGCTGCACTCAGGACATGAAAGCTAATCGGAAGTTTGATAGATACAATCTTATTTCTCTGCTCTGAAACATACTCAGACACATAAACTAAAGCAAGCTCAATTAAATTTAAAGAGAAAACCGTAAATACTTCAACTTGACTAGGCACATGAATAAATACTCAAATTAGATCAGTCAAACATTTGGTTTAGTTTACAATACACTGTAGAAAGGGCAGATCCACACCTCAAATATGCTTTAAAAGCCTCTCTGATGCGAGCTCTGGAGGACTTAAACGGCTCCTGCTCAGGAAGCTCCAAATCAGTGTTTTGGAGCTTATCGGGGGGGAAATGTTAGCAATCAGTTTCTTTCCTTCCTGCTCTATTCCAAAGGCTGCCATCACTGCGAGTCCCGGCCGGGTGCGTTATTACACAGCTGACAGACTCCTCACCCGAAAACTCAACAGCCAACATCACATTAACCTGCAGCAGATGAGACAGAATCTCTAAAGTCTGCACACATCTAACTGCTTTTCAGCCATCTTTTAAATCTACGTTCACTTTCCCAAACTAGATTTTAGCTTTAATCATTTTCGGAATTACCAATGACTTTTGCCTCCTCTCTCTGGAGTGTGGAGGGCTTCAGACACCAAACAACCAAAGAGTCTCTCTGTATTTTGTAACTGTAACGACCACAGCATGCATCAGGGCCTGTCGCTCCTCTGGGAGCCGGGCAGAGGAGGGGGGGATAAAATCAATGCGTCTGTCAATAGAAACAACACTATTCCTCATGTGCACCCTTTTGGGAGCAGGTTGTTAAAAACCTTTTTTTTCCAGCAAAGTTTTGGATGTTTGTGATATTTGGCATGATGCAGCCACAGGATCGAGGCGTAGTTAAACCCCGGAAAAGATAAAGGTAGACACCGTTTAGTGACACAGTTACAGGAGCGACAACAAAAATGAGGTCACTGACCACATTACTGGGCTTTCATACACAGCGGCCCGTCTTTGTGGCAGAGGAAAATATGTGGGTGTGATCTGGTGGGCTGTGTTTCCGGCCCCTTTTACAGCGCGGGCGTCCTGGCCCACATTTGAACAAATTAAAAACAAAAAGCTGAGGGGATCAATCCAGCAGGTGAAACAACAGCCTAATGCCCTCTGCTGTGGTCAGGTTACAGCTGAGCAGAGGTCATTATGAGGACAATTATTCACCCGCAAATCCATTCAGCCCCGTCTCCAGGGTCCTGGGCCAAAATGGAGGAGCCGTCTGTGTGATTGACTGAGCCGACAGTAACAGGCTCCACTTCAGCCTGTAGCTCAGAAAGCTGACCGGGGAAGAAAGGGAGAGAAGACACACTCTGGCAAACGGATGGAGGACCCTTTAGTCCTCACATCTTTGCATAATCACACTAATCCACAAAGGCCTTTTCATGATGGTCAAAAAAGAAACAAAATAGACTTATGTGCGGCCGTCTTGTTTTTCTGGTCCTGGTAAACAACAGTGAACATATTGGAAAAGAGGACCTTTGATTTTAGGGCCTTCGTTGCCTTTATAAGACATCAGAGTGATGACATGAAACAGGGGAGATGCAGGATGTTGAACTCAGTTATTAAAGTATTTAAGCTATTCTGTTCATTTGACAGAAAAAATGACAGCCTTTTTTATTGCTTTGGTAGGAAAAAAAACCCTCAAACATACTTTGACGTTTACTTGACATTCAGGAATCCCCACATTGTTGAACGCACCATTTGTGTGTGCGTTTTCTTAGCTATTGTGCGCTGAAATAACCATCAGCCTTTTGCAAACCTCAGCAGAGGAGCAGCCGTTACTCAGCCTCAGATGACTGCTGGTGGAGCATCTTGTGACTGAGAGCAGGGTGGAAAAAAATCCTCACAGTCTGCCGTTTGTTGGGCCGAGGACCAGAGGGACAATGTGTCAGCCTGAACAGTTATTTTTCTCCAAACCCAGGAATGTTTGGTGTCAGAACGGAGAGCATGTGAATGCAGAAAACACAAGCTGGCATTCATATGAATGGAGTAGGAGGAGTGTATCTAACAGTCCAATCAGGAAGCGGCTAAAAACGCACTATGGTCGCATTCACGGGAGGAATGCAATGGAAGGGTGACGCTTTCTGTCCCAGAGAAACACAGAATGGTGGCAGTCAGCTCAGGAATCCACTGGAGGAAGCTGCACCATCCTCAGGAGCCGGTCAGGTGGAAGACAATCATCCACAGATTGTCTGAGATCTAGATTTCCCAACTAAACAACGTCCCATTTGCTTTGTCTGGTTCTTCCAGAGGGAAATGGAAACCATGTCCTTTACAAATTCGGGATAGTTATGCTCTTCATTACTGTTAATTTTTACATCAAACAGCTGGAGTTGACAGTCAGAAACCATCAGTCAGACATTTAATCCAGTTTAGGGGGTTTACACAGAGTTTGATCTATTCTCTGTCTAAAAGCAGAACTCTGACACACTCAAAGTCACCACAAAGCACAGAGAGCGTGATGAGTTCTGCACAGACACACACACAAACACACACACTGACCTTCAGTTCATTTTTCCTTGTGAACTCTGATATTTAATATAGAAAAAAAAAAACCTGCTTCAGTCCCATAAACCGACTAAAGAAGCACACAGGTCAGAGGTCCAGAACGCAGCGAGCTGCAATGGTCAGGAAACAGAAGTGGACGGGCTGAGGGTGGATTCAGAGAGAAACGGTGGGAGCCAGCGTGTCCCTGTGATGTGTTCATGTTAGAGCCGATCTCATCTCGGGCCAGTTCGGAGCATCTTGGCTGTGACTGCAGAGCATGTGTTCAGATTTGAGCTGTGTGTGTGTGCACGGTGTGTGTGTGCACTGTGTGTTAACACTGTAATAAATGAGTGTGCGTCGGAGCCCAAACAGAGCTACACCCAGTTCTCCAACACAAACACTGCATTCCTCCGACCCTACTCCTGGACCCGGACTAAGAGCTGGATGGGATTCTGGCCTATTACGAGTTTGTGGTCACCTTGACAACACATGGACACGGGAGGGAAAAAAAAACCCACAACAGGGACTCTGCTGCATTGGCTGTGAGAACAGGAACCAGGACTGAGGATCAGCAGGGTTTCCCAGCAGCTACAGCCACCCAAAACCTGACGCAGCTCTTTGGAGACCAGTTCCACCCACAGAATGAAAACAGGAACGTCTCCACTCTGCAACAGTGTTTTGGTAAACACAGTTTCCAAGAGACAAAGGAACCTTCTTGGAAGGCCGAGTGTCCCCCAGGTCCACCGAATGCAGGTGGCCTCTTTCCTGAAACGGACATTTTAAGAGTTGCTCAAAGCTAAATGTGTCTTTCTGTGTTTGAAAACACAAACTGAATGGTTGCATTTTGTTAGGGAACACACGGGTCAATCTGAGAATAGAACAACACAAAGAAACAGAAAGATACGAGCAATCAATCACAACGGTAAAGCCACCGGTCAGAGTGTGTGTGTGGGTCTCCCTGCTGAGGCCAAGCCTCCCTGACCCCTCCTGCCCACCACCTGCCCTCATCCAACCCCATTAAACTGACAGACGGCATCACATCCCAAAGCTTTGTGATCAGAGAGAGGAAACTGCCATGTCATGTAAGCACCTTGACCCACCGGTTGCCTAACCTGAATCATTTAGCAGAGTGTGTTACACAGTTCAAAACACATCAGGGTGTGTGCGTGTGTGTGTGTGTGTGACAGAGCATCACCCTGCCGTCGTTTACCAAACAAATATTACAGCATGTGAAAGGCAACATGATTCATCAGAGCCAATATCAGACTTTTTTTAGCGACAAGTGGAACTTCAGACAATCAGAAGATTTCCACAAAACAACGTCAAACACAGGAAGTTTTGCCACAACTCCTCCCCGGCTGGTTTGAATCCAAAAGCAGAGTCAGAAGTGCTTCAGGAAGCTGGGCCAATAACACAAACCTTTCAGATCTGAAATCTGCAGCTTCCTACATCCGAAACTATTTTGAAGAAGAAGAGCTGTCCTGAGTAATTTCTGTTTCGCAGTCCCTCTCTCTCTCTCTCTCTCTCTCTCCCTCCCTCTCTCTCTCTCTCTCTCACACACATACTGAGCACCTGTTGGCTATATGAGAACAGGGAAGTGAAATCCTGACTGTTGCCAACACATGAGGAAACCATTGAACCTTCGCTTCCTGTTGGTTCTCAAACTGCCCTCCATCTGCTCACTTCCTTCTCTGACCGACGCCTCTCTCCTGAGAGGAGACACTTGCTGACGCACGCCCCCCCCACTGCTCAAAACACAGCCCTTCTTAAGGAGTGTGAGGAGATGTAATAGCTCACGTTTTGTGTTTCTAAACTGACCACATTTCTCATTGCACTATAAATTATATTAGAAAATTATCTTCATGTGAGCACTTCCGACAACACCAGAGCAAAACGCATCTCTGAAGATCAGCTCAACATAATCCCGCTACCCCATTTTTCATCATCAGTTTAGACGGTGATGAATTTCTAAATGAATAATTAGACTTTCAGCCCTCTTTTGTGTGTTCGAGGTCCGGCATGCTGTTGGTAAGAGCCTCAGTTGTACACTCTCACACCATCTTTGTGCTGTCATCTTTATCAGCTGTTAACATGCTGCAGAGGAATGCCAAGTAAGCCGCCAACACACACACACACACACACACACGCACACACCAGTCTGAATTACACAGATACTCAGCCCTGAAGCTCTGTCAGTTTAGTGCAGTCTGTTTAACACACAATATCCAATGCTAAGGAAACCTCCAAGCAGGAAGTTACAGCTGTTTGCGCTTCCATCTGACAAACCCGGCAGCTGCTGAGCCAACAGAAAAGCTCTCCTCTCAGCTCGATGATCACTGAAAATAGACCTTCACAAGACCCCACTTTCAAAAAAATTTAAATTAAACATAACTGCATTTTATTGGAACACTTTCACTACTAATAACAGGTGTTTTGCTCCTGGTAGTACAGACATGAAATGCCGTCTTGTGTGCTTGTTTCTGCCTCGTTTTCATCCACACGTGTAGTTTACCACATATGAAAACTAGGATTTTTTTTTGATTGCATAGACTTAAGTGCATTTAAGACAACGCGTGCGGGTTAAAGGTGAAAGTGTGTATTTGTTAGAGTGCAGAATCACAACCCCACTCAGACAGCACAGAGGACACACAATACCCCGTCAGACCACAGCCGGGTTCCAGGCCAGTGAATCACAGCTGTGCATTACAGCTGCTGCCTTAACCCTGACGGTAGCGACTCCTCAGGAATGCTTTGGTTCACAAATGGACACTTATCTCTATTCAGACCTGTTTTGGGCAATGATAATCTCTAAGGTCAGGATGCTCTCCAACCCGAGCCGGTAAGACCCTTTAGAACATATGAAATATTAAAGGCAGTGGTCAGAGTGTAAAAAAGCCACTTTAACAGGGCAGAAACTGCAGGAGGATTTCAGATGATGTTTTTCCAACATTAAATGCTAATTTCTAGCTTCATGGTTTGAATCAGGACCGTCACCATTTGAATCTGAAACATTTTCAATCAATATTCAATATCTACTGCAGCTTATCCAATTTTATGGTTCAAGCAACAACCTCTAAATGTCTATTAGGCCACTAATAAAAACTGTAACGAGCAAACTAATGTAATTACAGGACTGAATTGAATCTTTGACTTACTTATTCAGGACTTAAGTTGCTTGAACGCGATGAAAGCTGAACCTAATCAGATAAACAGATTTGATCAAATGTGACTGCACGGCCGACGCTATCGCCCATCTAATTGGCAACTCAGAAATATTTCAAGAGCACAAATAGATAATGCTGCTGTGGAACATTCCTCTTCATCCACCACACACACACACACACTTCCCTACACAGAACACCTGCCAACCTGGACACAGACGCATTAAAAATGGCAGGATGTGTCAAGACCACCCACACGGTCGAATTACAATCATCAATCTGCCAATGGCTGCGTGTCAGCTGAGAGGACTTCCAAAAAGCAGGTGCAAAGGGAACCAGCAGAAATGAGACATCTATCCAACCGAGTGACAGGACTACATAGCTACATCAATCCTGTAAATAGTCTGTTTAGAGTATTACACAAACCTCTACATATTTTATAGAAAAGAACATCACCCAATCCCAAATTTGACAGACCAGTTTGCCCCCCCAAAAAGCACTTATGCAAAAGAATTAGGTTTTTTGAAACCTCTAATGTGAACATCCCTTATACCTTATATGTTCACCATTTTAAAAAATAAATTACCAAAAGACACCAGAGTGGTGGAATTACCTTTACTCATTTCAG